TTTTATTGTCTCAAACATAAATATTATGTTGTATTTATTTTGGAGTCCAAGACTCTTGGACTTTTGAAGAGACTCTTCGAAGGGTCCAAGACTCTTCTTTATGCTTGGAGTAGGGAATCTGCAATGTCTCCTGTGGCCTTCACCCCCCAGCCCTGGCCCAGCCAAGGGAAGATGATGTGTTGACACAGATGGATTTTGCCCTTTTTGGTGGAGCATTCAGTTTGCTTGGGCAACACAGCCATCTGCCGGATTACTCTCCCGAGCACCTCTGGTAGTGCCAGGAAAGCCCCAGTGCCAGAAAGCGGTCTGAAAGAGATCCAAGACTGTCGCGTAGATTTGAAATCTCATGGGAAACCAGGGGGGAGAGCAGGGAACAGAGCAGCCATGAGCAGACGTGCCACATTTTGTGCTCATTAGCGTTTCCCAGGCACAGAAACAGCATCAGTGAGAGGGGGCCATGGCACTGCCTGCAAGGAGAGTTCCTGGACTAGCCAAGACTGCAGAAGGCACCACCTGAGGCTGCAAGGGAGAGTCTACCACCATTGAGGAACCCAAAAATATGGCTCAAACTGACCATTTGTGGATGTGCATTTTTCACCAAAGGAGACTATTAGGTCTAAAAATGCCTTCTTCCCCTTTCCATCAGCTTTGCTGTGCTGCTGGTATTCGGCTGCTGAGACTTGATCTAATCAATGCTCATCTAGGGAGGTTTGTCTGGCATGGAAGATGATATTATTGAATAGGTCTACCAAATTTGTCAGTGTCTTCACTGACAATTTTCATGAATATATAACATTGAAATATGGCTCATCCACACTGACTTATTCTTTATAGTGCTCAAAATGGCTTGGAAAAAATATCTGTAATTTGATAATGAGAAAGGATAAAATCAGTTAGGGGGATAATTGCTAATATCCAGTTCTTAAGAAGGGAATATAAATATTGAAGAATAAAAATAAATAGGCAAATGAATAAACAAGATTAAAACTCCTTGATTGCCTAGACTCTGAATGCAAAAATGCCAACGAAACAGCCAACTTCTTTAGGCATATAATGGGGAAATTCAAGAAAACATCAATCACAGGACTTTCAGCTTAGACACTACATTCCACAACATACATTACACTTCAAATGTTTAAAAATGCTCTTTCATGGGAATTGCAAGATAAAGTATATTTCTATTGGATTTGAGGGAAAAATCGCACCCATTCATTTATTGGCTAAAACCAGATCTTTTTTCACAAACTTGATCAACATCAACAATCTGCCATTTGTTGAAAAGAGTGAAAATCCCCCCAAGTCTGATAAATACTTCAGAGTTTCAGAAAAATGAGAGGCCAGAATTGCACAGAGACACAAACACACACATGTACAGACATGTACATGTGCTGACACGTATTGTGCACGGAGCCGTGGCGAGAGTGGACTGGTGGACCTGGAGAGGCGGACACTGTCAGAGAAGGGCCACCTATGGCTGACTCTGCGCACATTTGCTTTGCTGAAAAAGGGGACGTTGCTTTTTGGTTGTCTCTGACATTAGTCAGGCATTTCCAATACTAGAGTATCTCTTGCTGGTATGAAGGAAGAGCCTTTAAAAAACCAAGGCGAGGCAAACTTAATGCAAAGATTTACTCTCCAAAGGAACGAGTACTCTCAGTTTTGCAAACCGAAAGATTTGTGTGTTATTTGCAAGTATCAACAGGCTTGAAAGAACAGGAGGGAGCAAAGACGCTGATTGAACAGACGGTTTGAACAGTTCAATATAAAAAAAATCAGCTGGGTGTTGGGACTTGTGGTTCTTCACAAAGCTGCTGCATTCCTGGGACCCCATGTTGAGTGTGTGTGGGTGTTTATGGAAAAACCTGCACCACTCAGCTACCACAATCTCTGCAAAGAGCATTTGGCACTGCTGCATTAGCATAATTGACAACATCAATTATGCCCATTGCTATTTTCTCCCCTGGGAAAGTCAGTCCATACGAGTCAACGTTTTTAAAAGCATGTAGTGGTCTTGGAGATTTTTAGTGCCATTAAATGGTAGGGAACAAAAGTATTCTATGGAAAGGCGCAGGCTCGGGGAAATTGCTTCAGAGGCACAATGGCTGAGGAGCTGCTCTTTTTCACATAAAGCTCCCCATGGTCAGGGCAGCATTTCCCTTCCGAGGAGATATGAAGGTGGGGAAAAAAGGAGCACATACTACATTCTTATAATAGCCATCATCAAATGTTTCCGCACTTGAAAGAACATGAGGACAGCATGGAGCTTCCTGCCTGGCAAACACTAAAGCCTGAATGTTCACCGAGCCTCAGTTTTACACTGCTCTCTTCCTTTTCACCAACTATTTCTGAAAGGCTGGAGTTGTTAACAGCTTTTTGATACAGTGGTCCCTTTCCCCTAGGATCTCCCAGCAGGGTTACGCCACAAACATTTGGGGACACTGGAGGCATGTGGATTGCCCTGCATGAACTTGCAACTTTCACCCTACATGCCGTCACTATATGTAAAACTGAAAAATTTAAGCAAGAACAATAGTTAGGTGCACAAAAAGAAGACATCAGTTGGTGCAAGCGACAGTGGTTGGTACCTGACAAGACCCACCCAGGAGACATAGTTGCTCCCCTCCAGAAGCCCATTGGGGCCTAAGCCATACCAGAAGCCTCAAGGAGCTGCTAACCAAGGTGCAATGATGGTGCCTTTCTCTGCCAAAGAGGTACCTACTGGACCTCACTGCTGATTCAGGATATCTCCATTCCTCCCACGGCTCTAGGGGAGTGAGGTACCCCGTCTCCTCTCCATAGGCCCCTGTCACCTCTCGCTGGACCACCTGTTCCCACACTCCTCCTGACCTCTCGGCACTCAGAGACCATCTCCGCTACAGACCTGATCCTCTGTGCTGTAGCTCTGCCCTCCTCCCTGCCCAGTAACCCAGTTTCCTCCTGTGTTCCCTGCTTGACTCGCAACCCTTGGCAACATTTTGCTGCAATCAGTTCTCTTCTACCCACCATCCCTCCTCTCAAGTGTGGGCTGAAATATCATCTCTCTCCTAAGCAAGAGCTATTCTCTTCCTCCTCCCCACTTGAGTTGGAGGTGCCTTCTGTACACCTCTTCCTCCATGACCCATGACTTGGCTTTCTCTTGTCATTGCTGTGGTCTCCTCCTCCTCTCTAATCCTCAACCTGCCTTTCTTCCCTTCTTGTTACAGCTCCTCAGTTGCTTCGTGCCTAAATGTGTTGTGCTGTCTCCTCTCTAGGTGATGTGGGTCACTGCCACCCTAAAGCTAAACCACCAGACAGCAGCAGAGTAGGGCAGGTTGCACAACATTTAAAAAGGGGCTGCAGGTCTTCATCTTGACTTAGGGATGCCAGGGCTCTTGTCAGTTCTCCAGCAAGGAAGATAAAGGATTTAACACAAGAAACACAAGAATATTACTTGCCCTTACTTCTAACTAAATAAATAATTTTGGCCTACTTGGCCGTATCTCCTGCCCATCACAGGAAACAACATCAGCCCCTCCAGCCTTTTAAGAAAACTGGCTGCTGCCTCCCAGAAAAAAAGCTGAGATTAATCAAGGGTTTGGGGGAAAGAGACTTAAGACTTTTCTCTTTTTGCATGACTCTCTCTTCACCTGTGGAAGGGCTCCTTGGTAGTAGGAAATACCTCGACTATGGCTCATCTTTGATCTTTTGGAAATTAATCCCAGCATTTATTTTCCATAGAAATTTCTACCTTCTCTGCTTCGTGCTGCAGCCACCTCCAACACCTAGCACTCCTCTGCCTCACCGAGACATCATTTATTCATAGCTCTATGTTTTAATCATCACGCACCATTTTTAAGTAGGAACAGAACAATCATTTCTAACGGCCAGGTACCCTATTAACGCAAGGGCACTGTGCACAAAGGGTCCACACAAGAGAAGACCAGCTGAATTAACTACTGTCAGGAGGACTCTCCTGGTAAGAAATGTTAAGACCTGTGAAACCATCGGCTGGATTTCACCTAAGCCATGCAGCAAGCTGCTCAGGTAAACCCAGCAATCTGCACCTGCTCTCTCTAAATACTTTCAAAAATATCACAAACTTAAGCACTGAATGCATCCCCTGACCCATTTTTCACAATACCTTCCCAAAGGCTTGAATTCTCAGTGCGAGCTGTGAATATTTGCATGCCTGTGTGCGTGCACACACACATTCAATTTCTAAATCAATCCTCCCAGGCAAAGGGTGTAAAGAACATCTCCCAAACCTCACTAGTATTTACATGTTTTTAATTTCAAATGCCATATAAGGCTATTCAGCCATTATATTTTATTGTAGCTTCTAAATAAATTAAAACCATTTATCACTTAAAAAAAAGTTTTAAGAACCTTATTAACTTCATAGTTAAAGACCGACAGGTAATATTATCTATTATGGCAATGTTTAATGGTATCACAGCTGTGCTATGCTCTGGATTTTCACTTTCTTAAAACTGTATATCGTGACAAAAATATGCACAGTCCAGTGCACTGATTGAATTATTTTCAATATTGTCTGCAAATTCTGGGAAATAGTTTACAAAACTTATTTCCACTATCAGAACAGGTGTTTTACAGCCAGAATATCCATACATTGACAAAAGCGGAAGAAGCCCATTTATTAAGAAGAAAGAGAGTTCCTAGCAAAAGAAAGAGTAATGCAAAGACAGTGTTTTCTTAAAGTAAACCAAGAAACCATAACAGAAGATAAGGACACCTCACCTTAGCAAATGGAGGAGAAAAGAGACTTACATGAATTGCAAATTGTGATTCTCACAGAATAGGAAACGTACCTGCATAATCTGTTCTTGCGTAATGCCCATCTTCCGATTTTGTAGTTGTTGTAGTATTATCTGTGTGAAAAGAAATATGTTGAATTGCTTGGGGAGTCTGTACTTGATACAGACTATGCACCAGCTGCCAGTGCGCAGGCAAACGTAGCTTTGCTTGCACACACAGCATCGCTGCTGGCTGCAAGGCTCCCCTGGGTCTGCCAGGTGAAAACAGCAGGATCTGGCTTTTTGGAATGAAACATGAAACATTTTCCATTAAGAAAACACATTTTTTTCTAACAATATGTGATAACAGATTGCAGCTGGGATAAATATATCAGTATGAAGCAGGAGTTGTCATTTCTGCTCTATTTGAAGTAATTGGGGAGTTTTAATATGTACCCTGAAATGAACTGCCATGTAGGGTGGTTAACTTTAAAGAGAGAGGAATAAACTAGAATGTGTTTAATACACCTGTATGGTACAGCTTTATAAGTAGATGTACTGAGGATTTATAGGTCAGAAGCTAAGGGGAAAAAAGCTATTAAGAGTCTGAGCCTCAGCAGACACTTTATTTATGGGAGCTATTTAAAGGCAAATTTTCTTCATTTTTATTTTGGAACAAAATAGAGTTTTTAAAGTCAGCTCAAGGGTTAGAGGTGATGTAGTAGCCCATGAGCTGGGCACAGAAAGCATGGCATTTATGGAGAAACACAGACAGTCTTGAGCTGCTATTGGCAAAATTTCCTTCCAAACACCTTCGGCATCTTGTGGGCCCTGTGCAGGTCTTATGAAAAACAAGCAGCAGCACTGTGTTTGGGAGCACGTCTTTGGCCTCCTGAGATTGCTTCGTGCTGCTCCAGTTAAGGCAGCAACAGAGGATGCATCCTGGGTGGCAAAATGTATCTGAGGGGCTCTCCTGCCATCCTGCTTTGATTCCCACCCGGAAGGCAGATCTCTGGGCAAGTCGCTCTGGGCAAAATACATGTGCCTGATTTTGAAACCAGTGCAGGACTGGACAGTCCCCTGCCGCTGCGGGCAGGGTGTGGGAAGGGTTATGCACACCACTCCTCGTGCCTCGCGTCGCATCTGTACCATGGAGGGCTCTGCCTCCTCCCACAGCCTGCGCTCTACAATATAAACTGCAAGAGTGTAATGGAAATGTAAGAAGTGCCAAATAAGAAGCCAGTCCCGGTTCTTTTTTTTTTCCCCGAACAAAAATTGAAAACATTCTTTGAAATGAATTTTGTTATGAGTGTTACCTTGACATCGACCCAAAGACATGACTTCAATTTTCTCCTGTTTCTGGCATGATGCCTCTTTGATTTGACATGCATTATCATAAGATTTCCCATCGGAAGCACAAAGAGGATTGAAGTTGGTTTGAGAACAGTCGATGTTACACACACACCTGAAAAGATAAAGAAAGAGAAAAAAGAAGAGGTTAATATGAGAAAGTTTTTTCATGACATCATAAATACATCTCAGAAATAAAAGTGTTTGTATTTTCCTGACTACAATGCAGATCAACAGAATGGAAGTGGAAAGTTCTGTCAAGAGGTCATTTGTATTTCTGGATGGAAATTAAATGCGGCAAGAGGGAAGAGACACAGACAAAAGCAAGCAAAAGGAAAGATAAAAAAGAGTGTTATACGCAGAAAACTATGCCACAGCATTACCACTTGTAATTTCTTGTAAACCAAAGAACACCCAAGCAGATACACAGATAATTCAAGTTGTTTTGCCCTCTTGCAATTAAAGAAGCCACAAAATTCACCTCTGTTGAGGTGCTGCCCATGGTGTGCAACACTGTATAAATGTGGTTTTATATTGATTTATGATTTAATTCTGATAATAATTGCAGCACATATAGGCACTCTGATCATAATAAAAGATGTGATGCTGAAACCTCATCTCACCCTGCTGGGATAAAACCACCTGCCAAGACTGAGACTGACAGCAGCAATGCGACTGTACTCTCTCTGTGCCTAGGGGTGGTGAGATCTCCCCCAGCTCCTGGACATGGTGAGGCTACTCAGCACTAAAACTAGGGGAATGCTGTTTTTAGGAGAGACTTTGTGCACTTTCTGAAGTATTTGAATAACTTGGCAACCAATAAGCCTTACCCAGGTGTCACCCAGGAAGGTCAGTGCCCACGCCCAACCTGGCAACATGCTCTGTGCAGGGTGAAGGCTCTCATGGCCAAGAGCAGAACACAGGTAGGGCAGCAGCAGCCCTGTCCTCAGGGAGCTTACGGGCATCTCCAGAGCCACAACGACCCAGCTCGTGAGCTCCTGGGCTGCCCTGAGACATGAACCAAAGCACAGTAGGAGATTAACTTCAAAAGTCTGGTCTGGATATGAACTAACACACTAATGTGGACACGTCCTGATCCCAGCAAGCCTCGCCGTTGCTCAGAAGATGGAGAAACCTAATTACTTCCATCAACTGCAGGCTGCAGTCTTTTTTATTTAGGTTTCTCCTACTTCATTATCATTAATGACGTCAGACACCCTTGGGCATCGGCAAGGGAAAGGCATGCTAATCTTCTGTTCCCTGACTGTGCCATGTACCAGACAGCTCAGCCTCAGCAACGCTTGCATTAACACCAATGTGATCCTGCTTGGGGACGAAGGCAGAGGTCTAACCTGGCAACTGCTTCAGCTCTTCTGAGCACGTAATTGTGCACATGCTGCTATCTAAACTCTTCCCATCTCCTTCTGACATTTAAGGCAAAGTAATGCAACCGATGCTCTATCTCCAGCCCACTGGATGCGCTGAACCTCACAGCACCGAATCCACAGCTCTCCCTTTGGAAAGTTAAGTAATGGAAATGTCAGCCTCTAGCCTCGCTTCTCGATTTAAAAAACTGTTTAAAAGTCAGTTCACCTCCTGTTCACAGTAAGACATCTGGACAGCTTTGACCACTGGAAGTGTAGAGGGATATACGCAAGAGAAAAACGTTGGTGGAAAGAGGAAGCGTAGGAAATTAGACAGCCTGGGTCAGATTTCTCCATCACCCCCTTTGGCCTCTGGCCTCTGCAAACGTGCCCAGGGTGATGAAAATCAGTGGACCAGTACTCGTCTTTTAGACTTTCTTTAAATTGGGTAGGTCTGTTTTCCCCAAATGTTCACAAAATACATAAAACTTCAGCTCAAAAAGAGGCCAATGGTGAAAAGCTGAAAGCTGTGGTTATAAATTAAATTACAAGATTTCATAACTAGTAGAAGAAAAGAGTCTAGCTCTCTGTGTAACAATTTCCCCACACCGATGAGCATACAGAATATAAGAAAAAAATCCAATCAATTTCTTAAGAACCTATTTATCAGTGGAATAAGAATGTTCTGCTCCACCAAAATATTAACTGTCGTCATTTCTTCCCGCAGCCGTTTCCAGCTTCCCACCTTAGTCAAACTCACTTCATTAGGAAACATTTACTGCTCAAGTAATAGTAATTCTTTCCACATAGCTCTGCCATTTGCATTTCAGATGGGACACAATCAGCCATATGCTCCTTTTTTTTCAATAAAACAGCTCAGAAACAGCTTTACTTCTCCACATTTTGCTACAAAAAATGAGTGTAGGTTAATATATATTATGTCTCAAGTCAAGAGAAAATTAAGTCAACGAGAAAATTAAAACAAAAGGGTGCTCTTTAGGGGAAATCTAAGCAACTTCGGATGCAATTTAAAAAATGCCTAGGGGACGTAGGAACCTATGCTCAGAGTCAGGCACTTAAGAGACATATTTTTAAAGGTATTTAGATGCTTAAAGATGCATGGAAACACATTGTGTGGGATTTTTGAAATCTCAGAGACCTATCTCCCACTGATTTCAAAGATCATTTCAGAGCTCATTAGGCATCTATTTGCATCTTTTGATACCTTCCAAGAAACAAAGTTCCAAAATGACTTTTCTGACCTCTTTCAGTAAAAGTGAGAATCAAGATTTTTCTCAACTTCATTCTAAAATCTTAACTGCAAGACCAGCTTTTCTTTCCAAGCAAGATCTCTGTAGCTGCACACTGCATTAGGAGGATGCACCACAGCAGCACCATGAGCCACACGCTACTTGTGCTGATGTCCGATTGCTCATGTGCGAGGGAGAGCAGAAAAGGAGAATCTCGGGATGTCACTATTTGCTTAAGTCTTATAGAATCTCCTGTGTGAAGCCTGATTTCCAGGGCTGACTAGCTGGGCGGTGAAAAAACACTACAATAAATTTGTCACCCCAATCTCCTTGCCGCAAGGATCTGTGCATCATCCACTCCTTGCACAATTTTCAGTAGACAGCTTCTAGCTTGCATCTGCAGTTTCTTACTGCTTTTGCACTTATGTACTCAAATCCTACTTTAAGGCTGCACAATTAAGTCAACAACAAATATATGTCAGGAAATGCTAAAGGTAGGATTGCACTAGGAAGATTAATGTGCCTGGGTTGCTGACTCTGTTTAATTTATAGTACTTATCTTATCAGGGAAAATGACAGTATATTCAAACACATTTTTTTCAAACTAGAGGAACAAGCAGTCTGCCATTTCAACCATGCCCCCGAAGTCCAGAAGAATAAATTACAGAGAAAAAGGTGGGGCATTTACTCCAACGTGCATGTCCAGGTACATGCAGCCACAAAGCATACATCATCCTTAAGCAGGATCCACCAGCAATGTAATAAATACAAAATGAACGGCACTTAATATATTTGATTGTAGCCACAGGTAGAGGTGCCTTCACTTCTTAAAGCATTATAAAACGCAGAAGTGGGACTGTCTCCTATTAAACAAGCAGAACCTAACTATGACATCCCTGCTTGGTCCCCAGGGCGTACATTAGGTGAGAGTCCTAACGGTGTACAAGAGTTCAGATCCTGTGGGACACGGGAATCCCCTACCCCAAAGAGAGCCTCGCTCCAACCCTTGTCATGCCCAGAAATCCTGTCCTGCTCCTTGCTAGCACCCAGTGCTGGTCCTTCCCCTCTCACACTCAACCTGCAACCTGGCCATGTCCAGACTCCATTCTTTCACAAGTGACAAAATGGGAGCAGCCCCATCTCTTTCGGTTGTTGGCTGTACTGGTCCCGGGGCTCCCCCGAGGTCCTCCTGCCGGCACAGGGCTGGCAGCACGCACCCCGCTGTCACATGGCTGGCCGGGGGGGCCGCTGCCAGCCTGCGGCTTTCCCAGTCCCTGAGGCACTTCAGTACGCCTCTAATTTTAAATAATTTGATCATTTGACCATTTTATCATCCTGACTATGACTTCTGATTATAGTTATATCAATAAATCTATTTGGTTTCTGTGTTCCTAAGTGTAGTGCTGAAGAAAGCTTGGCAATATAAAGGCTGACTGAGCTTTCTTTGGGCTCAACAAGCTGTGAGAAGGTCAATGAGGTCTCCTGGGGGGGTCACAGAATGAAACTGTACCCACTAGCATACACAAAATACATGTGTAAGGCTGAACTACGCCTTCTGCAGTCAAAAAAGCAGCTTTAAAAGCATCTGTGAGGAAGGAGCGCTTCCAAGACGTAAGCCGATACCCTGCTGCTCCCCTGAGAAAGGAAGAAATACTGAATGCTGTCCCGCAGGCCCATCGTGTCTTTCAAGTAATGGGCTTATATGTTAAGCAATTGAAATTTGGGCTGTCACTGTAAACAATCATTAAACAAAGCTCACTTTCTTATGTCTATTCTTCCAGGTCATTATGATAGTCTCTGATGAATTCCACTTCTTTTATATTCTTTATTTTATTCCATTTCATTTCATATGATGAAAATCTTGGAGGAGCTGAACATCCAGCAATCTACTTAGTTTTGGTGATCACAAAAGCAAAAAAATCAAAACAAACTAAAAAGACTGTCCAACCGGCACACTCGGGTACCTCCTTGGGGAATTTTGGGCTAACTCCCGAGGTGTATCCTACAGCACAGCTTGGTGACATTGCTGGACCCTCCGATGAAAGCATCGCGTCAAGGCAGAATGGGAAGGTCTCTGCAGACAGAGGTGGTATGGACTAACATGCTGGAGAAGCCTACGAGGATGCCTATGGGCAGCCTGGCACAGCTGAGCTAAGCCTGTGACAGGTGAGATGCTTACAGGCATCTCCTTGTTCCTTACTACTGACTTGTGGGGTGCAAGCCACTGCACTTCTGTCTCTGAGTTTCTGTCAAGGCAGTAACTTCAATAAATGTACTAAACAGCATAGGGGAACCTGTGTGCATTTTGGCACCGGTTGTCACGATTTCAACTGCGTAACATGCTTTTCCCCTTCCCAGGGAAATGAGAGAAGAGCGCAAGAGTAGACCAGTAGTTATTTACTGTACGGGTCTGGGCCATGGAAAAAAAAAGCTGCCCAAACCTCAGAGAGGTCTGCATCCCACCAGTGATGGCAATGTGCTGCACCAGGCCGCTTGGCCAA